CATGTTTGAGAAATCCTGCAGTGTTTTTATGAAGCCATGCTGAGGAGCAAAACGACAGGTGGGGACCAGAAACACCTTTTGTTACCAGAAACACCCCTGGGATTTGTCTTTAAGCTGAGTTTCCTCATCACGCCGCACACCTTCCCACACCCCACCCCACACACCCCGCCCATGACTCCTGCTCTCGGCAGTAACAAAGCAGTGAACGAGTGAAACCGAAAGTGAAACTTAAACTGTCTGCTGAGCTCTCAGCATTAGTTCTCACTCAGTGAAGCTCTTTTCAGATTCAAAATACCTTTGAGGAAATGTATTTTCAGATGCTAAGTAAATTGCATCATAGCGCGTGCAACCCCCCCAGAAGCAGAAGGTGGTTCTTAAAGAGACAGAGGCCAATTTCAAGACGTTTAAAAGAGGAAGTGATGAGAAGATAAGTTTATTTTCTATTTAAACATAAAAACAGCTTTTTAATAACAGCTAGAGGTGACATAGATATTTTATGGTATAGTATTTAAATGTATGCCTGAGAAACACATAAAGCCTTTAAGGCTTTAAATTATTTGTCTGAAGCCTACTTTTTTCTGAGATGGAATGATTACATAACATTTTTTCTTTCATCTCAAACAGAGGGGCCCAAAGTGGGGCCCGGGGGCCAAATTTGGCCCACCAACAGTTGCCAAAGTTACAAGGTTGTAACCTGTCATCCTATGTAGAAACAGTATTTCCATTGGTCAAAYGACTATGTAAAAGGGCTGTAGTGCAGGTAGTTTTTAATTACGGTGCTGACTTATCTTTGATATATTAGGAATAAACATGAAACAYGAAGTAACAAYAAGAGATATTTAGATCAGATTCAACTCCACATGTAGATTTGCACATTTCATAAGGCCACAAAACCTCAWATTTTATCAATTTTTTTAAATGTCCMATGAGCCTTTGCTATTTGAGCGTATGACAGACTTTCTCTAAGTGCGCAGACTAAAACAAAAGAGGACCATTGCACTGGCTGCAAGCTTAATCGTTAAAAATAAAGGACTTTACTTAAAAAGTATTTGCATTTCATGTATTTTATTACTGCATTTGGCCCACAGCCCCTGATAGATTTTCATTTTGGCCCTCTCWGGGAAAATGTTTGGACACCCCTGAACTAAACTGAATAAAAAACAGATTCAACTATTTTCATACGCCAMCATCCATACTCCTCACAAGTATTGGTTAAATGTCTTGTAGCAGATTAAACTTCAGGCATTTTGTTTCCATCGATAAGCTTCTGGTAGAATTCTTTTTGGATCTCTCTTCTTGGCTGAATTAGTAGAGCTGATTTAATCCAACGGGTTTCCTCCACCCCTCCACAGAATCGCCACCTTAACATGGTGAAGGGGTTTACCCATGATCCCAGGGGCTATTCTGGGGCATTGACCCCCAGTAGGGTCTCCCATGGCAAACAGGCCTTCGGGAAGGGATCAGACTAAGAGCAATTAGGAACCCTTGATGAGATGAACCAGCAACCACATCAGGAGACCTCTGCCAGAAAAGGGCAACCGGGGCACCTCTCTGGAACCAGGCCTAAGGGGAGGGGCTCACCAGTAAGTGTCTGGTGGTTGAGCCTTGGCTCCTGGGGCTCGAGGTCAAGTCCGAAAGGACAACAAGAGGTTACCTCCACATGCATCCATGGGGTACGAGGAGGATCATCAAAGGAAGGTGGGGCAGAAGGCAAGGGTGGGTCAGACTGGCTCTTGGGACAGGAAATGTAGCCTCATTGGCAGGTAAGGAGCCAGAGCTTGCGTGTTACAAGCTAGATATACACTCACCGGCCACTTTATTAGGTACACCTGTCCAACTGCTCGTTAACACTTAATTTCTAATCAGCCAATCACATGGCGGCAACTCAGTGCATT